TCAAAGGTTGACAAAGTGCGTCTTTGCAGAACTGATATGGAGGATGTGAAAGTTGGGAAACAACAGAAAAAGATTTTTTTTTTCTTTATTTCACGGTGGCGCACCTGCCTCCTAGAAATCATTGGTGTTTCTTTTAGCGTAATTTGTATTTTTCTTTTCAAACTAAATTGGCGAAATCTTTAATTTGCTGAAACAACAATTAGTCCTAATTTCTACTGAAAATAGATCTTGCTTTTTTTCCTGTGGTCGTTTCAACAACAGTTTATTTGGTTTGGGAGATATAAAAAGTATAATAAATACCTATATAAATGATAATAATTCACCAATAAGTTGGTTAATTTTCAAGAAAGTATTTTGAAGATATAGACGTTTTAGTTTGAGGGTTTTTCACTGCGCAGGTGCTGAGATTTCAGCTTGTTTTTGACATAAAGGCCTTTTCCTCTTCTTTTCCTCCAATACAATATATTTAGCCAAAAAGAAATTAATTATTTCTAATTTAAGGAGCACCATTTACCATATGACCCTGTGCGTAAAGTACGCATTTTAGACTTAGGCGCAAAATGATATTTTAAATTGGAGAGACTATCAGGGGAGTGTTTTACGCTAAGTGAGAAAGACAAAAGTAAAGGCAAACGAATGGCTAAACCTGGCTAGAATTAATTGTGTGTGTGTGTGTGTGTGTGTGTGTGTTACAGCAGAAAACACTGATAACAACACTAATTACGATTATTTTGGCACTGATAAACGCTTAAATATTTCCAGAGTGAAGGGGAAAACAGGGGATCCCTTACCGACACATTCGTTGGCTTCTCTAACCGTGGCGCGCTGCCAGGGTCGGTCGTAGTGGAAAGGTTTGCACCTGTCGCACTCCGGTCCCGCCGTGTTGTGTTTGCACTCGCAAACCAGATTCCCCTCTCTGTCCTTGACGCACTTTGAAGCGTGCCCGTTGCACTTGCACCGTCCTCCGACCTGCAGGTCCGACACTGCGTAAAAGTAGGAATCGCGGGCCAGCTCGGAGTCGTCCTCGTTCTCGTCTCCGAACGTGTGAAGCCGGCTGAAGATCACCTTGATGTCCGTGGCCGTCACCCAGTCCTGGAGCACCGGAGAGTTGTCGAAGTCGTGTGCCGACGGTCTGCCGTCCAGCGTGCTGAAGGCTATGAGCCCACCTGTCAGCGGGTGCATGTCTGTGTGGGAGTCCGTGCAGATCGCCTCTTGCTCGTTCTGCTTCGTAATTGCTGCCCTGTTCTGCCGGTTGTACATCTTCTTGCACTGAGTGGAATAAAACTGAAAAGGTACCCACGATTTGCCATAGTCCATGGACTTGTAGATCGCCATGGACTCGGGTCTGGGCGAGCAGAACTGCAGGCTCACATAGGTGACCTCAAACTTTTTACCCAAGGACAAGGTGAGAGTGACGTTCTGCGGATACTGCACGTAGTTTTCAGACTGCCAGCAGGTGAGGTTGTGAGGGTTGTTGAGGTCTGTCAGATAGGCAGGTGGATGGGACTTTTTGGGATCTCCGGAGTCGCACGTGTGACAGTCCCTACTCCTCTCCTCTCCTTTCTCGGTCACCACACAGTAGCGGGCGGCCGGAGTGCCGCAGGTGCTGGACACGCGCACGTCTTTCCCAAAAGCAGAGTTGACAAAGTCGGGGATGCATCTCCGAGGATTCCCGTTCTCGTCATAGCACGGGTCCGGAGGGGAAGATTGTGCAGCAAACATGCTGAACCCGTATCCCCCAAAGACACATTTGGTAAGCGCAGAAACTGTCACCAAGGTGACCCAAACCTCCAAAATCCTTTGCATTGTAATCCGTGAGTCGTAGGGGGTGGGTTTGCGCTGAAATGCGACGAGGACAAGATAATCAGTTAGCAGCGCTGCAGTCAGGTATTAAGAAGAAAACAAGACAGCTATTAAACAATAAATAACGCTCACGAGGAAATTAGAGAGTGGGTTAGGACGCAAACAAATGCATGAAAAGAAATAAATGTGTATAAAATATTCTTACAGGGCCAAGAAAACTCCACCTAGACCACTACCTCCAAATATACAGCTCAGCCTGAAAGTGCAGGAGGACTCCAAAGAATTTGGAGAAACAGCCTATCCGATTTAATCCGAAACTACTGCTATAGTTATACTTCCCCCCCTCTTTAAAAAACCCAGAATAAAACCAAGATATGGCAAATGCCCAGCTGGCTCTGACCCTCCTTCTGCCTCTGCCTGTCCACTCAGTCACACCTCTGCCCACCTCTATCTCCCTCTGTCCCATTCCCTCTCTGTTATAATAGAAAAAAGGGGGCTCCGCTCATTCAGTCAGGAGACGGAGCTTTTTTTTCCTTTTTTTTTTTTTGCTTTTGCTTTCTTTTAATGTCTCGACGTAGGAGATGGAGCAGCGACATCGTCCGACATATTCCGTGAACTACAAGCTTAAAAAGCAAACTCGAAATAAAACTTAAGAGTCATGCAGTCATTTGAATTTTTCAGCTACCTCTCTCTCTTCAATCAGCAGTGTATGTGTGTCTTATATAACTAAGATACAATAAAAAAAAACACGTCTAAGATACCATCAATGACCACCGTGGTTTCATCGCTGGCCTTTAAACCACATCCTTATCTTCACGCACAGGAAATCAGCTGCACGTTTGCAGCCCCAATAAGCTGCAAGTAGCAAGACACAACCTTCCTTTTCATGTCGTTATTGTCTAATGTGCCAGCAAGGGAGTGATGCAACATTGCCTGACAGGCACACTGTACATTAAAAAAATCATCTGAACTGTCGTCTCAATGAGATATATA